GGAACCGGTCCGTATGTGGGATCCGAACCCTCAGGCGGGAGCACCGCCGCGCATCCCAAGCGACGCACTATCCAGTGCGCCACCGGGCCGGCCCTGTGAAGTGCTTCCTTTAAGTGAAAAGGTAGAAGTTCTCGACTTAAGGAAATAAAGAAAGGAAAAAAATCATATGCCAAGGTTGCTAAAATCTACGGTAAGAAGGAATCTTCTATCCATGAAATTGTGAAGAAGGAAAAAAATCTGTGCAGAGCATGAGTATATCTAGGGTTTGGTACTATCTGTGATTTTGGGCATCCACTGAGCATCTTGGAATGTGTACCCTGTGGGTATGTGGGGACAACTGTGATAAAATTTCCTTATTGTTTAAGTCATTAAGTTCAGGAAGGGGGACTTCTGTTACTTGTAGCCCCAAGTCACTGGATACAGTCCCCTTCCTCTGAAATAACAATCTGTTTTATAGAGGATACACAAGAACACATACACGTTCACTTGCTCTCTCTTCCCTCCCAACACCATCTTTTTAAAATGAAATTGACTCTTATGTGAGTGCTGGCTTTATCTCTTTCAGCCCCCCAAATTCTAGCTCCTTGGAACATGTATTCCCTGTCTAGAATACCCTCCTCCCCAGCACTATCAATCACTTCAAGGCCCAGTTCAAAATCTACCTCCTGCATGAAGTTTTTTATTTAATCCCTGCCTACATCTTCCTCTAATTCTAACACATGGCGTTTACTGCCTCTAACTTTTTACATCTTGTCTGCTGATTCTCGTGTCTTCCTCTCCATGTCTGCCATTCCGAGCACACAACTGATTTATAGCGACTGACTGACTGACAACGGACGAATGAATGAATGAGTGCAAAGCACTATTTTCCTTCACCTGAAACTCTGAGTTTTCCTTTCCTCTTTTTCTTCCTTGTCTTCTTTCCTCACCTTACTTCTCTGCAGAAGAAAAGACAAAAATTGAGATAAAAGAAATTCAGAGCTTAGACTCTAAAGAAAGAAGAAACAGTTTTAAAGAAAGCCAAAAATGACTCATCCTACCTTCTGGGAGTTACAGATAGGGAAAGAACCATGGTATGGGGGAAGCAGGAGTTGGACACTATACATATGACCTCTGTTTTTACCCTTCAAACATCTATCAACTACTCAAATATCACTTGTTCACTTCTATTTGTCTTCAAAATTGTGAAGAAACTACGGTAGTAGTTGCATAATATGGCTGAAGTTATTTTGGTTCTCTTATTGAAATGGGCTTGGAGCCAAGGGCACTGGATCAAACAAGATGCCAGTAAAGGCAGATTTCAAGACTACACCTACTGTAGATATTATCCAAGAAGTTGTGGTCAACAACAAAGCTCAGTTTAAGTCAGTGGGGCCCCTTAGGAAAGAGTCCAAATATTAAAGAATTTAAGGCCTCCAATGTAACCACACACCCCTTCTCCAGAGAAATCACGTCTTTCAGAGAAGTATCCAAGGCTGATAATGTTGATAACTGCCCATTTTCAATCAATACTTCCTGAAACCTAAAATAAGTTCAACACTGAAGGAAACAAAGAAATGAGCACAACTGACAGGTTTTTTTTTAAATATACCTTTATTTCTCAAACTCAAAGCTTTATTTCATTAATTTTTAACACATTTTGCATTGACAAGTGATTTCATCTGCATCAAGAAGGTTAGTGACCATTACCAAAGAGGAAACGCCACACATTCTAGGCACTGCTAAGAAATTATTTCAAAGGCTAGGTAAATATAACCAAAAAAGCTTCCAATTTGGTCTAATAGGTATCTTACTTTTCATCTATATTAATTTGGAAATAAGTAGCTCCTTTAGGAAAATTAAGTTTTCATTCATTTAAAGAAAAAAAGATCAGATAGCTTGAGTTTTTAAAAACACCCACAGATCCATATTATTTAACTACTTCCTTTTTAGTGGATGGTCATCTTACCTTCCTATGCAAACACACACGAAAATATGTACCAACTCTCACTAGCTCAGGCAAAACTCCAAGCATTTTCTTTAGCTCACACAAACTATTTTTTAAAAAGTGATAGGTAAACGAAATCTAGGCACTTGAGCAGACAAAAAAAAAAAAAGACTTTTCTTTCCTGATTCCTCACCTTGGACATCTGAAAATTTGCCAGATCTTTCAAAACACCTTGCCTCTATCCAACTCCCTTGGTCCTCTGAGTTTAATTGGTTGGACTGGAATATGTTCCAAAGCCAGCTGTGAAATTCTGGACTCTGTCACGTTAAGGTTGTGATTCCAACCCTAGAAACTGGAAGTTCTTTCAACTGACAGAATCCATCCCCTAGTGCAGAGCCCCAGTCAGACACCCAGGAAGTAATGGCCCCCGTGACACCAGGGTCTCTTCTCATGATTGGATAACGATACTTCAATGCACTCTCTGGAAGAGGACATTTGAGCTAAGAAGATAGCTGCATCCTAAAACAAGGCACTAGTATCAGAAAATTAACTAGAAAGGAGTTATTACTAAAGTTAGGAAGTTGCTTTTGAGTGGTCCCATTTCCCAAAGTTCACAAAGCATTACTGTCAAAATCCTAACCTACCATGAAGGGAAAGGGTTAGTGCAGAGGTGAGGCTGAAGGATAAGCAGATGCAGAGCTTTAGCAACTTAATTATTAATGTGTCACCACAAAACACAGGTTCACATACAGTTTGCTGTGAAACAAATCCCCAGGGGAAATCACACTGGGGGTAGTGGAGGGAGACACCAAACTTGAATGCCAAACCACATCTGTACCATGTATCAGGAACCAAGCGTCTACCCTACCCGTTCACCCCACCTGCCAGGACCCCCAGGTGTGGATATGCCACATTTCCACACGCAGTCATCAGGGATTCTGATTCGAAGGTGTTCGTGATGGAGAGTTTAGTTTTGCACTGAAACTGAATGAGGAATAGTGCCTTATTGCCAAGGTAAGATTTCAGGGTGAGACTAAAGCTCAAGGCCTGGAATTTAGTGTGTGTTCTTCTGCCAGCACGAGGGGAAAAGGCACTGTTTTCATCTCCCTGCTGCTCAACCTGACTCCAAGCAGCAGCCTGGGAGAACAGACTGCATATTTGCAGAAAGCATCAGGAAACAGTTCAGAGTCCTGAAGCAAATGAGAGACTGCTTAAATTTAGATTAGAACTTGCACTTGAACCTTAGTGCCCTCTGCCACTGCCGAGTTTCATGTTACTCAACACACAAAAAATAGGAACCGCTGGACTCAGTACAAGTTCAGGGTACCTGGTGCTGGTGTGAGCAGTATAAGAGGTAGGTTTCAGCTAGAATTTCCAGACATCTGAAATTCAAGGTTACCTGGCCTATTCTGAGGCTGGCAAAAGGCTCACAGAGCAGGTGGAGACACCTAGTCCAAGGACCGTGTTTAAAAAGTGCAGCTTTGGTCAGTATAGCTTTTACCCTGATGGTTCCAGAACACATGATATTCTCATCTACAAAAATAGCTGGGCTACTAAAAAGCTCAGGTGAAGAGACTCTACCAAGATGGCTATCGTGCAAATGCTGGTAAAGAACTGGGGGACTGGGAATTTCTTGCAACTTCTGTGCCTCCCTTCATCTCTTCAGAAGTGGGGACCTATTACTAGATATGAAAAAAATATAAGCAGAAAGAACTCAAGGACAAACCAGAAATTTAATTACTTCATGCGGATCCAGTCTTTTATCTGGTGCCTCATCACCCCGGTCCCCAGGCCTCCTACATAGAAGCAATACTGAGTTCCATTAGCAAGTGATTATGTTGAAGGCTTCATCACATTTCAAAGCTTTGGTTAAACAAATGTCATTTTTGTGCAAATATGTTGCCATTTGACCGCAATGGCAGCTTTTTAAGGTCATAGATGACCAGACAATTTCAAAGTTAGGATTACTCTTCATTGGGATTCACTCTTCACTGCCCCTTTTGCTGAAACCCTGGGTCCCCTTAATGTAGAATTGGCCTTGACTGAAAGCCAGTGAATTCAAACAAAACTCACATGGAAACAGAAGCTGGTTAAATTAAGAAGTGGCTTCTAGTCACCTAAAGTAGCACAACATGGGTACCAGCTAAGCCTTGGGTTTCAGTCACATCTGATCTGCTTTTGTTTGTTTAAGAGGACCAAGACATCACATTTCAGAGGAAACCTGAAAATATATCTTGGTAAACCACCCATTTCTACTAAGCATTTCTGCATTAAGATAACTTCAATGCTTAGAGAGAAGAGAAAGCAACCACTCAGGGCTTTGGATTTTTATGGCCACAGGAGAAAATAAAAAACAGGAGCATGGATTTGATTAAATCACTTTAGAAATCAAGCAGGCTGGCAATATTGAGTGCCTTTGCCCTTGATACCCTAAAGTGATGGTTTTTAAGAGATCCCACAAAAACTTGCAAAATACAAAATCCTTTATCTATATCTACTGGAAAAAGCAACAGTGGCCTAGAACTCCCATTTACTAAACTTGCTTTAGACTAGAGATTAACACTGTTTTCCTTCTAAAGTGCAGAATATAAGCAAGTATGGCCAAATCTACCAGAATAAGAAGATCATTTGTCATTCACTCAATTCTTCTCCAAATATACCGGCGTGATTTCAGAGCGCCTTGCTAGCTCCGATGCGCAGAAATTATTTGCTGTCAAACACACCTGGAGAAGGAAATGACTATTTTGAGGGGAAAAAAAAAAGACGCAAAGAACAAAAACAAACAAAACTAGCCAAAGTACTCCAGAAAAACAGCTTTGTCGTATTTGGAATGTGATCAAAATGGGTTTCCAATTAAAACATGGGAAGACCCTCATGTCCGTTGCTACAATGACTCTAGACTCGACACGATCCTTAGTCTTAGGAAAAGCAAAACAAAAGTCAGCTGTGAAAGAGCTGATGAGAGGGGGGAAAAAGTGCCATTCAATAAGAATTCCTTAAAAGAAAAACAGAAATGAACATTCATGTTTCCTATTTACAATCACCCCACCACCACCACCACAATTCTTTAATATTATATTCCACATTTTAATTTGTTTTCAAGTTACATTTCAAGAAAAGGTCATTTTTTTCTCAGCAATATCTCACAATTCCTCAAGATAGCACAGCATCTAAACCATAAATCACTTCCAACCAGATCTTAATCTCCACTATTGGCTTTGGTTTATTGATGGAAGAAATTCTCAGCTCTGCTGACAGGGAGTAAACCTAGGCAATTTAGTCTCTTGAGCATAAGTGAAGTCACAAGAGCACCCTCATGTTTACCATTTTCTGCCTGACTAAAACTGATACAAGAAAAGACACCATCAGCACAACTTTCATGCAACTGCTGAGAATTCCAAGTGAGGGCCAACACAGCCTACCCTGGCTCAAGTGAAAAGAAAAGTAGCTTAACACTTCTCATATGCTGCCCCAGCTCTCTCATTCTCAGTTACTGAATAGAGCTCAAATCCCCATGTGCTAATGTTTGAGATGTGATATGTCAGTGTCTATCTTGGAAAGATGTGGATAGGTTGCAAGTCCTATAGCCTTTTCCAAAGTGGCACTATAATATATGTCCTTACAGGGTTGGCTCACAATATACTTTAGACCCATTCCAATGGGTGCACAAAGGAAAAAAAAAAAAAAAGGCAGAATCAGAGCTGAGTTCCCCTTTAAAAGCCAAACACCTACATCTAGAAGAAGGCTCCCCTACATGAGAGCCCTTGCCCTGTTGGGGTTCCCAATGCAGAAACCCTCAGGTCTCAAGGCTAGTTGCAAGGCAGCCAGGTAGGGTAGGGCTGGCTGTAGGTAACTGGAGGATGGGCAACGTAGTAGTTGTTGAAGTTGCCATCACTGACATAAGGAGCTGGCTGGTAGTAACAGGTGACGTTGGTGGCATTGGGGATGATGTTTTGTTCTGCCAGCACGCGCAAAGCCAGGAGGGAGATGAGGTTCAGGGTCTGCCTGCGTTCATGTCCCATGAGGCACACGGTGCTCTCGTTCACTACCCTGCGAAGGATCATGAGGTAGTCATACTTGCTTCTCTCTTCTTCGGCAAAGTGGTTTTGAAGGTAGGTCTCCAACTTCCTTTGCTGTTCCAGGATGTCCGGGAAGTCGATGAAAAACCTGGAGCACATGTAACGTTCTAGAGTTTTGATTTCTTCCTGGTCCGTGGGCCTGAAGTCCCGCACGAGAAGGTTGCTGTACTTGAGAAGTCCCCCGCCTCTGATTTCTTCGGGGTTCTTGGTAGCGATCAGTCTGTTCTGCAGATGGTCAAAGGCTTCCTCAAAGTCCCCGTACACACTCTCCCCGATCACTGTGGGGTGGCAGTGCTCAGAGATGGGGTTACTGGAGCAGTCATAGAAAAAAAGCAAAGAATCCAGGATGATTTGGAAAGAGTCCACGCTAAACTCAAACTGACGCCGGATGGAGTCAACGAATTTCAGCTCCACATTCCTCCCATTCTTGTTGGAGAGTGAAATCAGGCTCCAGCGATCAGTGTCCATGCAAACCTTCACCAGCTTCTGCACATATGCCTCCTTCAGAGTGACTGGACTGATTTTGAGCTTGTTCACGCCCTCTGGCAGGAAGTTCAGAAGGGAACACAGAACCACGTCTCTGACCAGTTGAAACTCTGCCTCTGTTGGAAGAGCCACGTGAAAGATTAGGTCCAGGTCTTTGCAACCCAAGCCATTGTCTTTGACCAAAACGTGGCCAGCTGCAGAGCCATTCAGCCGCACGTCTTGCACTTTGATGCCTGCCTCCTCCAGCCGGTCACGGACGGTCTGGACGATGTCCTTCAGAGTTATCTCCAAGGTTGGAAAGTTGCCTCGTCCGTGGATGGGGACGACCTCGGTCAGGACCTCATGCAGCCGGCTCACCTGATCCCAGTTGAGCACGCTGAAGGACACGCAGTCCCTGGTACTGCTGCTCTCCTCTGCCATCTTGGGGGGTGTTCCAGCTGGGGAAACTGAAAGGGAGGGTGAGAAACAGAGTTAGGATTCACTTCTACCCGGCAAAGCAGCTTGAGGAACTCAGAGAAGGTGGTGACTTACTGCTGAATGTTTTCCTGTGAGACGGCTATCAACAGCACCAATCACTCAGTGTTGCTGCAAGGATTAAATGAAACACGTAAAGAACAGTGCCCTACACTTTAAAGTAAGGACAAAAATACACAAACTAATTCTATACCAGCTTAGATAACCTCATAAGTTTGTTTTGTGTGGATTTTTGTTTTAGTTGTAATGTTGTGCTTTGTGTGGGAGTGAGGGATGGTATGTGCTGGTTTGTGTGAAAGGAAGCAAATAGACTTACTAAACCAAGTAATTTAAACACAACATTATCCAATAAAGGAACTATATGTTTTGCAAATTTTCCCTGTTTTCTATGGAAGTTACTTCTCCTATTTTGGCTCCCGAACTACATCTTGAAGTAGCTGATCCCTAGGTTACAACACTCGCACACAGAACACACAAGATCCACCAAAAAAACCACCCCAAACAAACAAACAAACAAAAAGCTTCCTTCACCTCATGAATAGATGAATTCTCAACTCCGTGCCACAACCTCACTAAGAAATGGGAGTCCCACCACTCCTGCTAGAATAAAGCACATTCCCTCAGCAAGACTCCCACGTCCCTTTCACATACAGGAGTGGTCTGTCTTATGACAAGTACTTCTGTCATCCAGGGAAGAACCACAGATTTTTCACATGACAAAATTTCTGGCCAACAGAAGGTTAGGGCAGCTATGAAGCAGAACCACTCTTCCCAGCAAGGATGCCCTACACAGGAGAGGGCACACTTCCTCAGGGCAGTGTGATCTTTCAACTGTGTTCTGAAAAGTAGTACCCTGGAGCTTCCTAAGGAAATTAAAGTTAGCACTGAGTGCTGGCAGGACAACAGGACTCACACTTCATCTTCTACAACCACAAAGTTTCCAAAGTAATTTTCAACTACTTTGTACTATTTTTTCTTGTCATTTTTTTCCTAAACAATACAGTGTAATGATTTACATAGTATTTATATTGTATTAGGCATCACAAGTAATCTAGAGATGATTTAAAGCATGTGAGAGGATGTGCGTAGGTTAGACACAAATACTACACCGTTTTGTATAAGGGACTTGTGCATCTGTGGACTTTGGTATCCATAGGGGTCCTGCAACACCCCCACAGCTACTGAAGGATGACTGTATATAAAAACAAATGCTGATATGTTGGAAAGTCAAGATGCCTATGGATCGATGTGGGTCAAATATTAGCTAGATGGATTTAAAACCTGAAACAAAAGGTCAAGATGCTGTCCTCAGACTTCACCGTGAACAGTTTTCCCACCCCCTCCTCCTGTCTGACTTGCTACACACACACAAAACCCATCCCAGTGACTCCTGCAGTTTCATTGTTTGGAGGCTGCTGCTTTTGAATGCACATTGGCATGAATTCTCCTGGGGCTCCAGCATAGATTTCTGGCCTGGCCCCAGTGCCAGGGATTCCCCACGGTTGATTCTCAGCGTCAGGGCACTGCTGGGCACATGGAAAAGACCTCCCATCAAAAAGGTCAATGAGAACCCAAGATATGATTCCAAGGAAGTGTGTGGCGTGTACAGCTCTAGTAGTAGAAAGAAAGCATCATATAAAGGCAGAAGAAAGGGGGAACAGGAAGGCCACAGAAGAGTTCTCTTGTGGGGAGGGGACACAAGCCAAGAGAAAGGCAACATGAGCTCCTGGCTGGGACTGAGGGGCTGGGACTGAGAGCTGGCAAGTCGTCCAGGGGCCACTACGAGCCCCTCTCCTCAAACCGGATCATGAGGCCCTTTAGGATCCAGGTTAAGGGGCTGTGGATCTGCTGAGCTGGTTGATCACATGATCAAAGCAGACTCTAGCAGACCAACCTAGGGATGAGTGCTCCTGCTCACTACAGAATACTTGTCAAGGGGAAGATTAAAAAAAGATAAAAGTTTACCTTCAGACAGAGTTAAAAAGCCCTCAACTATCCAGATTATCCTACCAAGGCACTCCTATGTTAAGGATACCAAATAAAATTTGTAATAAGATAGTTAATGTTTAGTGTGACTGGCATTTGGTTTCAAGTCAGATTTGGGACATTAGGGTTCATTTCACTGGGCTCTCTATACACAGTAGTTCTTTCTAGCTGCTTTTGTGATTAGCATGCAGAACATTTGTGCCCGTTGTATAGGGTGCTGCACAATTAAGTTCAAATGATTACAGAAAGGTGGTTCTGGCTTTGTTTTGAGACACGGCTAGACTATCTATGCCTTAGTGACATAGATTTCTGTCAGGTATGTTGGTACGTGTAGAAATACAACTTGCTTTCCACTGTGTATCACCTGTTGAGCTTTCAAGGCTCACGTTTATGATACAGGTATGAGAAGTCACAAGGTAACAGAGAAGCCACAATGCAATCAGTACTTGGGATAAAAGTAACAACTTGAAGAAAATCTCCAGGAAGAACCTCAATAATGTTGAAGAGGAGAATAACTGTAGGAAGGACTTTTGACCTATGCTTTTTTTTTTTTTTTCAAAGTAGTTATTTTAAAAAGAAGGCAAGGTCAGGACTACTCCTACTGATAATGTTGAAGAGGAGAATAACTGTAGGAAGGACTTTTGACCTATGCTTTTTTTTTTTTTTTTTTCAAAGTAGTTATTTTAAAAAGAAGGCAAGGTCAGGACTACTCCTACTCCAGAACATAGTTCTTAACATTAGAGGAGGGGCATCTGAGACCAGTGAGAATTTGGAAGCTACCAACCTTTCCTTTGGGGGGGAAAGTACATATGTCTGAGAATTTTCATATGTCTTCAAATCTGTGAACTTGCAGCAAATTCAAAGTTTGAATCTGTTTTAGACTGAGAATTTGTAAGGTTCATACAGGAGGAGGGGCAGGAATAGCCAGAACAAGTCATGAAAAATAGGAATGATGTACGCTAGCAGCCTGTAAGAGATATCACGAAGCCACAATAATTGAAACAGCATGTTATCAACACAAAAAGACAGATAAAGCGATGGAACAGAATTTTTAAAATCCAGAAAATAAAAATCAATCATATATAGCACATAATAAAAGAGGCATTTCAAAACATTGAAGGGGGAAAAATTAGACATCTGGATAGTTTAGATTTTTAAAAAGCAAAAATAAAAATGGTTCTTCATCTCATGCCAAACTAAGTCTAGATGGATCTTAGATGGATGGATCAAAGATTTAAGTGTAAAAGGATGAAACTCTAAGAATACTAGAAAGAAAAAATACATAAAATTTACCTACATTTACAGAGTACATAGTCGTTTCTAAATCACATAAAACCTAACAGCCACAACAACTGGTATATTTGACTATATAAAAACACCATAAAGAAGTCAGAAGACAAAAGTAGGAAAATATTTGTAAGTGGCAAAGTACTAATTTCCTTAATGAATGAAGTGCTCCTACAAATCAGAAATACCAGGACCCCAACAGAGAAGGGGCACAGAACATGAACAGTGGCTCAGATAAACAATATAGTCGATCTTTTAAGGGATGGGCAAGTTAAAACTTCAGTGTATCATTTTCACCTATCAGAATGGCAAAGACCAGTAAATCTGAGGTGTGGGGAAGCAGACACATCCGGTACACTGCTCATGGGCAATCTCTGGAGAACCTGAGACTCAATTTTAAGTGGACATAGCCCTTGATGTAGCAATTCTACTTCTAGTAAGTCTACTTTGAATTTTATACTGTGAGTATACTTACAAATATGCACAATGATTTTCACTGGAGAATTATTTATAAAGCTGCAAGTATTCATCAATAGACAGTTAAAGGATTTGATGCATGTACACAACAATATACAAAGCAAATACAGTTGTTCAAAAGAATGGTAGCCATTCTGAGTGTGAAATGCTCATCAACATTTACTAATAGAAAAGCAAGTGCAAAACTATGTGTAAAAGTTGAGTGAGAGTGAGAGAGAGAAAGAGAGAGAGAGAGAGAGAGAGAGAGAGAGAGAGAGAGAGAGAGAGAGCGAGACCTTTCAACAACCGGCTCTGGAGGGAACTAACAGAAGGAGAACTCACTCATCACCCCACTCCCGGGAGGGCTAATCTATTCATGAGGGATCTGCCCTTCACAACCCAAACAGCTCCCAACACTGTCACACTGGGGATCAGATTTCAACACAAGCTTTGGGGGGACAACATATCCAAACTCTATCACAAGCATATAAGACCTCTGGAAGGATACACCAAAAATAGCTCAGCCTGTACCAAATACTACTTCTGGTTTGGGGAACAAGGGAAGAAGAAAAATTCTGTACTCTTGAATTTGGAATCTATACATGTATTAGTTGAAAAAAATTAAAATCTTATGATCTGTGTTCTAAAATCCTTCCCTTATGAGCCTTCCATTCATCTGTTACCTTATTTAATTTCTTCAATTCCTTTCTTCCTCCTCACCCCAATTTCCACATCCATGTGCCAAAAATCAAATACACTTGGAAGCTTCCCCTCCAAGCCTTAAATGTTGATCTCTAAAGGGGTAAGCAGGGGAGGAAGCACTGTTTTTCCTCTAGAATGCCTTTTAGTTAAATTCTACTTATGGGGAAATACCCAGTGTTTATTTTTTAACACACACACCCCCTCCCCAAACTCTCGAAATAATGGATTAGCCATCTCATATAGTCCCATTCTATGTGTATTATCCAAAAATGTTTTTTTGCAGTTCCACAGGATTGCTACTTCTCATTTCAAACACACAGCTATGCTTGTGATACTGTCATGCTGATTACCGGCCACAATTGGAAGAACTTTAATAAACACAATAAACACTTTTTCAGGAATCCATGATGCCTGTGGTTGGCATCTTCCATGCCAACTTCTTACATGTATATGAATAATGGAGCTGACTTTTAGAAATAAGTCTATATAAAAGTGCAGCGTGAGATATGACAAGCCAAACCCACAGTGTAGTTTTTAA